GCTTTCTCCCTGTGAAATCCCAATCTCAGCAGCACATCTTCCACATAATGGCAGGGAGGGACCTGTCTGCTCAGCTCTGAGCTTTTGTGGTGCATATTTTTGAAGTATTGGAGGAGAGACGAGTGAGGGAGGGAGGAAGAAACAGAACTTCCCCAATTCCACAGGAGTGATTGTGTGTTACTTATGTTACACCTTGCAAATTGAGTCTTCACAACAAAAAGTCAATGCCATTTCTAATTCTTTCTATACTGCATAAAATAGCTTTATATATTTCCCCAACATATGGTTTATGCTTTGCAAGTAGTAAAATTTATATATCTTGGTCTCTTTCCAAATCATGAACAAATATCATGCAATGGAGTTGACATTTTAATCCAAAAAGTGTTTAAAGTTCACAAATCAGTGTGGCTGCTGACTGAACCTTGTGATGTACAATGCAACTTTTCCCCAGCACAGGCAAGTCCCAGGTCACTATTGGACAGAGGAAAGACAGGTATATGGTACCTTTCTCCATTAATAACCCTTTGTTTTTAGCCAAGTTTTGCCCTGAAATTAAAGGCAGATACAAATGAATAAAATGGCCCTCATAAAATGTCTTGATCTTTAAACCTACTTTGTCATAACCGTTCAGTGCCTAAGCACATACAGCAATATCAGGGCAGCTCTGCCCAAATTCTACAAAGCCAGCATTCTCCTGGGTCAGGAGAAGCTTATGTCTCCCTGTTGCTCCAGTGGGACAATCTGAATATTGCCACCCACAGGAGGTCCTGGGGCCTTCAGCTTCAGCTCCACTCTATGATGGTCTTACCTGTAGAGCCTTAAGCCTGCCTGAACCTGCCATACAGAAGCAAAGTGGGGTTTTTCAAGAGATACAGGCTATGGGCCCCTGCTTGAGAGGGAGGATCCTGGCCTGGAGGCTCTACCCTAGCTCCACCCCTCTCTGGAACTGTTTCTGATTCATCTGGGTTCTAGGGTGCAGGAACCTCCACCTGTTGGTAGCATCTGCTTTTGGAGCCTTGCCTCTGCTGGCCTCAGCCCCACACCAGCTCGTCCTCCATGGTTCCTGGCATTTTCCTGCCATTCTCTGCAATCTTCATTTCTCTTCCTTCTGACAAACCAATTTGACCACCTTCTTGTAAGCCAAGGCAGAGGTGAGAGAAGACATTGGGAGATGAATGTGCCAGTGACTAATGGGCTTTCATTTGGATTAAAAATCACATATCATAGAATGAAGAGTTGATTTAACAAGAGCCATGGTTCTAGCTCCAGGGAGGGTAAGCCATCCAGGGCTTCTGCATCCTGGTGAATCCCTGGTGAGTTCACAGGATTCCATATCTAAGCATGCATGCATTCTCCAGGTGGGCCTGGGCTTCTGGGCTGCCATTTGGTTTTCTGTGTTTTGCTTCTATTTTTGCCTTATTTTGCTTTTGGTAATGACATATAACTTAAAAAAATGGAATAACCATCTCACAAGTAGCACAGACACCTGGTACTCTGCCTCTAATGTGGCAGCAACCTTCATGCCCAGTGGGCCCTTGAGCAGCAGCTGTAGCAACCTTTCTACATAGAAAACACCCCTGCAACCTTCCAAAAAATGCCAGTTGATCACTTAGAAGATCACACTTGAAATACACTGGAATTACATGTCTCCTTAGCTGTACTTCTCCCAATAGGACATTTCCAAATGGAGTGGCAAGCAGAGAATGAGTCATAGCACACAGTATCCCTAAATCCATCAGTACTAATGGTCTCATGACACGTGTGAATTTCTATGTGCTTGGTTGCAGCCCAACCAACCCCATCCATAGTAGGACACAGGCTCTGTGCACCCCAACTTACCTGCATTCCCAATCCCTCTCAGGTGAGGCCTGGTAAGCAGGTAGGCCTGTGCCTCACTGTTACTCCACAGCTGCCCTTGAGCCAGTGGATACCAAATGGTCTCGGGCCCCCATGCCATTGAGCTCCAACAGCCACTGAGCTCAGGCTCTTGGATATCAGGGGGACAGCAGAGGGATAGGTGGCCTTCAGTGCCCATGTGACCCACTACCATACTATTGGCTTCCTCTTAGGCTTCTGCTGCTCCTTTATGTGCCACAATACAACAAACACAAGTGAACTGGGCTAGAGCGAGGCATGTGGGCACAATTCTCAGGCCTTTATGAAGGCCAGGTCTTATTCTTTTGAGTTCTTTGTGCTAAGCCATTGTTGTGACTGCCTGAGATAACAGGACCACTAGGATAAGCCCTAGACTGTCCCTGGTGAGGTGCTAGGGCATTGGACCTCCACCCTGTGGGTGTTCATTCTGTGAACCTGTGCTCAGTTTCCAAATAGTGTCCACATACTAGGTGTGCAGCTCTGACATATGCTTTAAACATGAGTCCTGGCTGTTCCACCAATTGGTAGTTCTGGTGTTACCTATAAATAAACATGTAAACACCAGAAAAAGCACAGAGCAGGGAAGGGAGGTAAAATCAACTTTACACCTAAATATTTTTATTTTCTTCCCAACAATTTGAATATAAATAATGATATTTTGATAAAATACTGCCTAAAATACCTGACTTTTACAGACTCTGATGTGGTATCTGCATCCATGACATGAGGTAGGCTGGGGCATTCTTGGCCCATTTAAGACTGTGGGACTGTGGCCAGTGCTTGTTCAGGAACTGGATCCTTAGTTTCTTGTTTCCTGGAATGTAGGTTGGAGCAGTGACCTGCTCATGTGTGACTCAGGGAAGTAGTGCTCTGTTGTCACGTAGAAAGGCCATTCCCTGATTCCATGACACGGCTGCGGCTGATGGTGCTAATACTCTTGGAGGCTTTCCAAGAGCCTAATTTGAGTCCTTTGTGACAACTGCGGTTTGTGGTCCAAATTATCTAACTTCACACAAGAGCAACAGTGATGACCCTGAGGTTTGCTCTTTGGGACTAGAGGTGCTGATCCAGCAGGGTCTTGGACACCCATGCCATTGAGCTCTGGTCCAGGGTCCAGGAACAGGCCTACCAGCTTTCTTCCTTTTCTGAACCGAGCTTTGCTTTCTCATCTGCAATGTATGAGAATCAGTGTGCTAATGCACAAGCTTAGCACAACAGAAGGCCCCAGAGCATCCATTCCTGCCCAGTGCCCACCCTGTGCATGCCCCTACCAACCCAACGCCAGACACCCTGACCCTGTGGCTCAATTCTGGAGAGCATTTGGTGGTGTGTTTCAGTGCACAAAGGGGTGCCATGCTGCATCATGCTGTTCAAAAGAAGAAGAAAAAACTACACCAAGTTTAAAATAAAACCTGGATCTCATCCCCAAACTGAGAATGTTTACATGGAGCATATTGATCACATGAGAAACAAATGTTCCTTTTGGTCTGAGCAGCCCATTTATCTAAGGCATTGTAGAAAAGAATGAGCACCTGAAGTATCAACCACAATTTCTGATTTGAATGGGGAATAAACCAGGCTTGCCTTTTCACGTTAGGAAGCCCTGTGATGTGCTCACCAGGAGTCAGCGCCTGCTGATGGTGTGCATGGGTCCCCAGCACTGCCCTTCCACCCTCGCAGGGGCTGTCACAATATAGTCCATCTGCTTTCAGCATGGTGTCACCATCCTGGATCGGCAGCAGCTCGGCCTCTACAGCTGTAAACTGAGAATAATGCACCTTTCAATCAATCCTCTCATGGGCAAGCCTCAAAGAACAAAGATGTAGGACTATAACTATTAACTCCCTGAAAAACACTGAGGTTAAGAGCATATTTACAAAGAGAAATGAAAATGAACAAAATTGTCAAGACACACACCAAAAATAGCCAAGAGCAATGCGGGTGTGGTCAGCCCTGAGCCTGGCTGTTGGGATGCAGGTGTGGTCAGCATGGTTCCTGGCCATGGGGTGGAGGGGTAGCTGAGGGACAGAGCCAGCTATGCTGCTAGGGCATGGGCAGCTCACTGCTGGGCAGGTTTAATCATCTTCTGAACAGGCAGCATGTCATCCAAGGCAGGACCACCTCGTCTTAAGGCACAGGTAGAAATTATTTGGTGTTGATGAAGGATATAAGTGATTCATATTTTTTTTCTATTTTTTCTTTCTAAATGCTTTTTTAAAAAAATAGTTGTAATTGGACACAATACTTATATTTTTATTTGTTTTTATTTTTATGTGGCGCTGAGGATTGAACCCAGCAACTCACACATACTAGGTGAGTGCTCTAGTGTTGAGCCACAACCTCAGCCCCTCTAAATGCTTTTTATTGTGTCTCTCTTAAAGTTTTCTTGGGACCAACTTCCCAAGAAGTTATCTTTTTATGGTTATCTTTTGAATTCTATCATCTACCAATTTGCTATAATAAAACATAAAAATATATAAAGTCTTTTGAGTATGTATTGTGCATGCATGTGTTGAGAAAAAAAAACAGAGAGTGCCTCAGTTACACTGAAACCCATACCCCAACGTGAAGTGTGCCTGAGGTCCTATCTCATCACCTGAGGTCTCATCTCATCACCCTGGGAAGCTCCATGGAGCACCAGAACACATGTGGATGTTAGACCATCATGGCAGCAGGCAAGAGATCCCCACAATGGCCACACAGTTCCTGTGCTGCATGGACTGAGCTTCAGCCTGAAGGGTGGGAGCTGTACAGTCCTGATGTGGGAATCTGATGGGAGTCAAGGGGGATGGAGGCTACTGTATCCTGCTGGTCCAGCCCTGAGCTGTGTGTCCTGTTCAGGGCAGCATGGAGCACCCCAAAGACACAGACCCTTGTGGAAGTGTTAGAGAGTGCTCAAGGGGCTGTGCAGGTATAGCTGCCCAGAAGGAAGCGAGAACTTCACCCCCAATCCAAGGTCCTGGGTTCTGGAGGCTGCAGCTCAACACAGCTAACCTTCACTTTCTCATGGGTTAACCCCACAGGACATATTTTTAGACAAAAGAAATCACCCTGCAGAGAGGAAAGCATGACAGGAAGCCAATGCATGGTTCACCCTTTCTGAAGGGTCCATCAGTAATCAGAGCTGTGGCATCATGAGCAGTGATGCTCTCTCCTGATGCTCTCTCCCATAATTCTCTCAGGAAACCCACTGATAATCAGAGTCTCAGCTACCTTCTGGGAAGGACTCATACTTGTGTCTGAAGCCTGACATCCTGCATCCTGCAACCCATATATGCAGTATGGACCCAGTGTTCCCCTCAGCAGTGTTAGCAATGTCTAGTGCAGGCCAGCTCTGCCTGACTCCAGGCCTTCCCTCTGACATTGATTTCTCTTCCAGGGTCCCATCTCAGGGATGATATTCCCTTGCCCCCAGTGCCAGGGGCAATAGTTAGGGAACAGTGAAGTTAAATGTTTTCAAGGCATGGAGAGGGACAGAGGAAGGAGTGAGGCTTCAGAGCTAATGCCACCCAACATCCATGAGCGTGGTGATGTTCCTGTAAACTCCAGTAGGGCATCACATGCTGTGCAGTGCTGCTGGGGGCATGACCATCGTCAGGAAGGGACAGAGACATGGAGAGCAAAACACCATCAGCTCCTGCTGAAGCAAGGGTCAAGGCCGGGACTGGTAGGAGAACTAGAGCACACACTCAGCCCAGCAGCACAACTCTGATAAAG